CAAGAAACATTTCTTTTTATTATCAATGTTAAAAACAGTTGTGCTGCTTAATATTTTTTGGTGGACACCATGATTTTTCAGGATTCAATAATAAATAGAAAGTGTAAAAGAACAGCATTTACTTGAAAAATATTTTTTTGTAACATTATAAATGTCACTTTTGATCAATTAAATGCATCCTTGCTGAATAAAAATACATTTCTTGAAAAAAAATTGACTGATCACACTTTTACACAGTAGTGTACAACAATGAAAGAATGAAAAAGAAGTTAAAAATAATGAATGCAATGCTATTCATGCAACAAAAACATGACTTACCTCAAACTGCAACTGTAGGGAATTGATATCCGTAATACGACTATCTCTCTTCTGATTGATCAGGTCTAGCTCAGTCCTCGGGATCTGCCTCTTACTCTTGGCGTCCCGCAGCCTATCAGAGATCTGCTTATGCTTGTTACCCTAGGAGATGAAAAGACTGAAATGTTTTTAATTTGTAATATAACATAATCATCATTGCCCAGAGAATAGGGTGTATGAGGCTGGATGGGGAACAGGTATATGGAAGAAGAAGAAAACAGAAAGAAGAAATGGCAATCTGACCACCGCCTCCAGCTCTATCTCGAGACTCCTCTTCCTGTCTTTAAGTCTCTGTATGTCACTCTGCTCTTTTTCTCTCTGTGTCTGAAGCTCCACTTGTTTACTCTTCTCCCATTCCATTCGCCTCTGTCGCTCCGCTTCCTGAGAGAGCGATAAAGAGAAGGAGAGGTTAATCAACAGATGTACGGTCTAATCACTCATTCTGACAAGAATATACTACATAATTATGCTCCCATCATTTTTCCTAGGGCGAGGAACCACTCCACTGGTACAGTATATATTAGGGTTAACTCATGAGTTAATTAAATATATCTAACACCATTACATTTTTTAAAGCAATTAACCTAATTTCCTACTTTTGATATTACAACAGTTACATTCTGTTCTTTATGTTTTCTAAAGACCACCAGGACAGGCAATCAACCCACACATTTTGCTTGTGTAATGAAATGCAGCATTAGAGAAGCATTCAACTTTGTCATGAAAGAGTACATAAATTACAGTAATTATTCATTAACAATCGCAAGTTTTTAGATTTCTAAAAAATCATTTAAGATTTTAGTTTTTTTATTTGATGTGTTATTTAATTAACCACTATATTCCTAACTTCATATTTTAACAATTGATTTCATTACATTATTTATGCAAATGCAGTAAATTTATATGTACCTGTAAATGAATGTATGCTGTTTATAGAGCTGTTTATGTATGTATACTGTATATACACACACACACAAACATTATATATATATATATATATATATATATATATACAGTATATATATATA